AACATTTTTTGGGGTCAACAAGAATCATTTCTCACCAAAACAAACTATTCAATGCTCCAAAAAACACGCTTAAGGTGTCCTTACTGATCCAAATGCAACGAGAAGAAACAAAAATATTTAGCACTGGCTAGTGATACTAAACTCATATACAAAACAAGAAGGATATTAGCATTGGCTAGTGATACTAAGTTGATATACAGAAACATTGTTATACAACAAGACAAAACAAAATATTTTGTTGTCTCGATCCTTTGCATGGGAAGATTTTGAAACTATGAAAATTTCCATGTACGACCCCGCTCGATTAATTTCTAATAATCATGTCGATCCCTCCCCTTCAGCATTTTCTTCCGTGCTACCTTTTGCCTTGCTGATTGTCACGATCATCGAAATTTGTATTTCTTCTTCATCATTCAAGCGAACTCGAGATTGGAACATGCGTGACATATCTTCAACGCTTTTGTTTGTCGTCGGGTTAATTGAGGAAGTGGTGTTGCTGGAGGATTGACCGCTTGATCCTTCTTTCACAACCCAATCCTAAAATCCACAATTTTCAATACAGCAAAGAAATAATCGTCCTTTGTTCTCTTTCTTCACCACGAAACACTTCTCAAATCTTGACTTGCATAGTGGGCATCGGCATTTTCGTAGGCATTCGGCAAAGTAGTGGTCCTTAGCTCTACAACTGTGACAGATTCCGTAATTCATCCTGTTCATTCTACGAGAGGAATACACCACCAAAAATAGTGCTCAACTAAAACAAATAATTAGATGTAACACATGCATAATCCAAGTAGCATGCATATGATGAAGAATAGCAGATTTCGATAAATCGGTTTCAGCATAAGTTAAATTGACTTCAAATAAGCACAACATACAGGAAGAGTTTATCAAATATGATTCACAACTTTTTATTACAATTTGTTAAAATTTTGATTTTATCCGGGGAGACTCCATTTACATATTTTTTCAGCTTTTCCTACGGGTATTGTTAGCCATAACATGCTAAAAGTCTCGACACCAAACCCCTAACCATTCGAGTTGAGCAAATCTCTGACAAATTAAAACAATAATAATGTAAAAAAGTAAACCTAAAACCAAAATTTACAGATAAAAAATGATGATAGATAGAGTCCGAAATTCTAATCCAACCAAGCCATATAGAAAGCATTCAACTCATTGACTCCTACTAGATCTGGAAAAGTAACAAGCTTTCTCATCAAGAAATGAAATACATATCAAAATTCAATCTAAATACCTGCGTTCGATTCGCCTCCAAAGTCGGGAAGGAGTAATGTTCGAGGCTGGTATCTCTGTCAAATTTTCGGGATTCCAAATTTAGGGCAAATATGAGTTTAACTTAAAGCTTTTGCAAATCCCCCAAAAATCAACATTCACTCCATATCAAAATTCAATCCAAATGAAAGAGTGTAGAAATACCTGCGTTCGATTCGCCTCCATAGTCGGGAAGGGTTAATGGTGGAGGCTGGTATCTCTATCGAATTTGGGGATTCCAAAATTAGGGCAAACATGAGTTTAACTCAAAGCTTTGTCAAAACCCCCCAAAAATCGACCTTCACTCTTGTTCACACTTCTCGGGGCAAGGTAATAGAGGAGATTTTTGTGGCCATTGGACCATTCGGAACCGGTGACTTCAAGAGAAAGGAGAAACGAGGAGAAAGGGTGTATTGGGGTAGAGGTGTCCAAAAGTCCCGAACCGAACCGGACCGAACCGAACCGAGCGGTTTTTCATAAATTAAATACCCGAACGGGTACCCGAATCGAGAACCGATGGGTTTGGGTAGGG